GTTTGTATCCTTGCTATTGCAATTAATTAACATGATGTCATGATTTGTCTCCTGGAAGAACAAGAAAAATTGACACAAATAATCAGTTGAAAAATAAATAAAAAATGATATTGACCGCAGTGACCTTGCAAGAATGGAGTCTGTCGTGCATCTGTGTCCGTGAAAACGATACCTCGTAAATTGTATAAAATCAATCATCACAAACAGTAACAAATCACAGCTCTGATTATTTGCATCTTAATATCATTACATCATAAACGGGTAATTAAATTTACTCTTTCACTACATGCATGTCCCGTATATCTATTGTGAAGTATAATGAATACATGTACAGTACCTGTATTATGGGCTTGACAACTTTATAACGACTCACATGCAAGTACTATAAAACATGATATGTGGCTTTGCAAATAATACATCATTTGTGACTGCAAATTTGTATACATTAATTCACGCCTCACAGAATTCATTTTTCGTAACCAAAATAATGTTTTTGTGTGAGAGTATTAAGTCTGAAACCCATCGCCTGCTTTTTTCAATTTTTTTGGGCTATTCTTGGAAGCTTCCACTAGGCGATTTCTCAAATCAGGACTGACCTTGTTCTGAAAACAGAATTTCATTCAGGATTCAGTATTTCATAAATTTCGGAGATAGTAAAATGAGATGATTGGCAACTAGCTGAATTGATAATAGTCGGAGCTACATGTATAGGGATATATAATATGATAAATGAATGCTGGGTGTTATAATTGAGCTATTTACTTCTCTATTAGTCACGCCATGTGGCGTAACACTGCTATCTATAGAAAGAAAAACTTCCTGGCCTGAAAAGAAAAATGCAATAATAATTCACTGGATTTTCATTTTACTATTTTCACTGGTATGTTTTTGTGAAATCCATGAATGTTGAAACTCGATGAATGCATAACATATCATTACTAGTGAAATTACAAGATCGTAATTGCAAAATCTTACTAAAAATAGAATTACAGTAATCATAGAATGGTTGTACAATATCTAAAATCTTCCTTCCCCTTCTTCCTTCCTGCTCTTTCTCCCTTCCCCTCTTCTCGTTCTTTTCTCCCCTCTTCCCCTTTTCTCCCCTCTCCCCTCCTTCTCTTCCTCCTCCCCCTCCTCCTTTTCCTCCTCCCTCTCCTCTCCTCCCCTCTTCCTCCTTTTCCTCCTTTTCCTCTTCCCCCTCCTCCCCTCTTCCTCCTTTTCCTCATCATCATCCTCTCCATCTAGACTGTATGGGATGAAAATTCATATTGTACATCTCTCTGATCTGACTAATGTGGGATTGTGACTGTTCCGCTGTCCAGACTGTGAGTTAAATCATAATTGGATAAATCTGTGTCGTTGTCACATGCAAGCATTGACTATACTATGTCAACTGATCCAATGTAATCTTGTGGTATATGTAACAGCTGCAGTTAATGCCAGTCACTATTACAATGTAGCTCTTGACATTTTTCCCTAATTCTCCAGTTGCCATGACATTTCTTATTGATAATTAACAACAGCCTTGTTTTCGTAGTATGCAGATTTAAAATCTTTTTTTGGGCGTTTTGCTTGGAATTTATTTTCACTGATTTTTCATGAGTTTAATGTGAAATATAGGAAAAAAAGTATATTCGCTGGATTTTATTTTCACGGAATCATCCTTTCAGCGAAAATAGCAAAAATAAATTCCAAGCGAAAATAAAGTATTCTACAGTATTTAACCTTTTCACCACCAGACTTTCTCGCCCAAATTATTCTGCACTATTTTCTTAAAATCTTCAATATTTTTAGAAAGGAACTCTGGAGCCAATAGACAAAATTTGAGTCCCAATTTTCAGTTTTTATGCAAAAAATTTGGCTTTTTTGTCAGTTTTCTGAAGGAAAGTGCAAACGTTAAACTGGACTATTTTGTGAATTTGTGATGAAAAGAGGGAACTGGTGGTGAAAAGGTTCAGCCCATCACTACTAGAAGTGCACATAAACTTTTGCATTCATTGACTTATTATGACCGTAGATCCAAATGTCAATTTACATACAACACATGCACAACTAAAAAAAACTGACATTTGAAAATTTGTGACGATATTTTGTTTTCATGCTGGTTATTCTGCTTCTATTGTTATTACGGCAAGCATCATGGATCATTAACTGGTTTACCCCACCCACTCCCCACTCCCAGGTACCAGGTATCATGTGATTCATCATCAGGTCAGCATTCTGTCTACTATAGAACCTGTAAAGATGAAGGTTTATTTACTTCCATGCATTCCGTGCATCAAGAAAATGGCAATAGTGTTAGTTTATACTCTTGGCTGAGAAAAAAAATCTGTTTCTCGTTTCCGTGCGCATCATTTTGAACTATGCGCCTTAAACGATTTTTTCCTTCTAAAGCATTCCAAAATGTGCTTGTCATCACACTTGTCTAAAATTTCCTACATTTTAGCTCAGTATTCAAAAAAAAAATTGCCTCGTCGCTTTTAAAATTTCCATGAAACAAGAAACAAGAAACAGAGAATTTTTTTTCCTGGCCTTAATGCAGGTTGTATGCAGACCTTCACCTTTTAAACCTCTATAAAATTACCTACAGTAGTATTCTATCTCTTTAACAACCAATAGAACAGTTGACCATTAATTGTACTCAAATTTTCTGTCATTATCTCATACTAAAAAGATGAAAATCATTGAACAAAAAACCAACATTTTATTTACTGGATGAAGGGGAACTTGAAATGAAGCAATTTATTTCGAGTTTTATTGATCTTGCAGGTGGTTAGAATATTTTTAGTACTTCATAATAAAGTTCCAATTGTACATGTAACACGGTGAATTAAAATAGACATTAAGTACACTGTTATCACCTTGCCAACTGCATCCCCTCTTGCTTCAGTTATGTGTAATGTGATGTCACCAAGTCATCTAAACCTAATTTATACTTGGATGAAATATCAATTATTAGCGAAGTGCCAAATTTAATGGATGCTGGTGTGTATTCATTTTTAAGTATGGATACATCTGACTAGCACAAATGTTAAAATGTTAGGACATCTTCTTTTGACGCCATTTTTATTTTGACTTCCGTAGAGGCTTTCAGCAGACAATGTGTTAACTACACTACAAATGTTTCGATATTTTGCAAATTAATGACTAAAATAAATAAATAAGTGGATTACCATATTTGTTTCGAAGAAAACAAGGATGTTGTGATTTACCACTGAACATTGAATTTTGTGGCCATATTTGAATTGAAAATTGGTTAGAAATTATACATCTGAGATTAATTAATAATATACACAAAATTAATTTTAATATCCAAAGTTTATTCTCTATAGAATAATTTAGCAAATTTCTAGGAAATTTCAGTTTTGTTTTGTTACTAGTGTACAGATTTGTAAATTTGTTTAACATTCCAAATATGGAAACATGCAAATTTATGCAAATATTGTCAGGCCTGAGTGTTTTCCTATTTTCAGTTTAGTTTTCTGACTCTGTTTACAAATTCAAATCCTCTTTGTGCGTTGAATAGTATTAAAATGTCAGAAAAAGAAGTAATAAAAAGTATTGATAAAATTCTAACATGTAACATCTGTTACGTTCTGACACTAAAAGGTACAGTGAATAGATTTTGTCAACATGGGTGGGGCCATTAACATGTTGTATGAATTAAAAGGTCAAGAGGTAATTTATTGTACTTGTTATACTGAATCATGTCAAAACATTCCATGTTGAAAGTATTCCCTAATGTAGTCAACAATTGAGAAAAAAAAATAGTGATTCTTATGGAAATACTAACATCTGCATCATCATAATCAGAAAATATTGTTGAGTTGAGTTTTTGTTTTCCATATTCAATAAACTTTCTGTTTTTGAATGTTGTTTAGATTTTTACATTGTTTGTATCCCCACAGATGAAGGAAAAGGGAAAATAAGAGGAAAATGATGTTGTTGACTCCAATGTAAAAACTTTCCTTGTGATTACATTAACTCTAACAATTTTTTATGCAATTTTTGTTTAAACCCATGTCCAACTTTGGCTTTTGACCATGTTTAATTTTGACATGTGTTATATGTATATTTTTTTGTGAAATTTTACTTTCACTTGTATCCTAGGGAGTGCCAGTGACTTTCACTGTATCCTAGTTAGGGAGTGCCAGTGACTTTCACTTGTATCTAGGGGGTGCCAGTGACTTTCACTTGTATCCTAGCTAGGGAGTGCCAGTGACATTCACTTGTATCCTAGCTAGGGAGTGCCAGAGACTTTCACTTGTATTCTAGCTAGGGAGTGCCAGTGACATTCACTTGTATCCTAGCTAGGGAGTGCCAGAGACTTTCACTTGTATCCTAGCTAGGGAGTGCCAGTGACATTCACTTGTATCCTAGCTAGGGAGTGCCAGTGACTTTCACTTGTATCCTAGCTAGGGAGTGCCAGTGACTGTCACTTGTATCCTAGGGAGTGCCAGTGACATTCACTTGTATCCTAGCTAGGGAGTGCCAGTAACTTTCACTTGTATCCTAGCTAGGGAGTGCCAGAGACTTTCACTTGTATTCTAGGGGGTGCCAGTGACTTTCACTTGTATTCTAGGGGGTGCCAGTGACTTTCACTTGTATCCTAGCTAGGGAGTGCCAGTGACATTCACTTGTATCCTAGCTAGGGAGTGCCAGAGACTTTCACTTGTATTCTAGGGGGTGCCAGTGACTTTCACTTGTATTCTAGGGGGTGCCAGTGACTTTCACTTGTATTCTAGGGGGTGCCAGTGACTTTCATGTTGTATCCTAGGGAGTGCCAGTGACTTTCATTTGTATCCTAGAGAGTGCCAGAGACTTTCACTTGTATCCTAGGGAGTGCCAGTGACATTCACTTGTATCCAAGCTAGGGAGTGTCTTTCACTGGAATTCTAGGGAGTGACGTTTGTTTTTAAATTTTGTTTCTCAAATGCTATAATTTTTGAAAGTTACCTATCAATGAAAATTGAACTGTTTTACATTATATTTGATTCCAGGGTTACGACCAAGATTGTTCAGAATGTGATGCTACTCAACCAGACTTGGCTCATCCAGCACCCTATGTGATAGATACAGCATCTAGTGGAGGTGAATTAACTTGGTGGCAGTCACGATCATGGCTAGACTTTGTTTCCGAGGACGATGATTTCATCATTAATGTAACATTATCAATGAGGAAAGGCTACGAGTTATCAGATAAAATTAAGATAACTTTCAAATCTGGGCGTCCTCAGAAAATGGTAATTCTGAAATCATCAAATAACGGTGAAACATGGGATCCTTATCAGTACTACGCTCGTGACTGTGTAAGTGCTTTTGGTATGGAACCAAAAGCCGATCCCTCGGATATAACTGATGTTACAGAGGTCATCTGTACTCCTGCCTATAGTGGATCGCTTCCAGAGAAAGATGGTATCGTGGAATTTGATCTTAATTTTAGGCTAGAAAAACTATTTGCGGACACTGTTGGTTCAGACAATGACCTCAGTCTTTTTTATGAAGTATTTGAAAGTGATGAAATTCGAAACTATATCGATGTCACAGATATCCGGATTTCTTTGATGTACCCAGCGACGGACGGTTTGGAAACCACTTTGAAACCCGAAAATTTGAGAAATTATTTTTATGCCATCTCAGATATTTATTCTAGTGTAAGGTGAGTTGAACTATAGAGGGAGCTGTTTAGTTATTCATCACTTTAGTGATATTTAAAACTGAAAATATCTTTGTAAAATATGAGTATTTCATTTATGGTTAAAAATCCTGTTTTTTGTTTTCATCAATTTTAGTGTAACATTTTGCACATTTTTTCCGTATTTTTCTAATATTTTATTGTTAATTTTGAATCAAATGGACCTGATTTCTCATTGGCTACAGACGAGAGCACTGGACGTGCAGCCAGTTTATATCGTCAATTTCACTCCCAATTTCAGTTACTTCTTGACATAGATTTTTCCAACTGCAAATTTACTTTTTAACTACTTACCATTATTAATGATATTAGGTGGAAAAAATTACAAAAATCCAGATAAATGAATACATTTGTATTTGGTATTTTTTTCTGAATCCTGAGCAACCAAATTTATAAATGTTACACATGCAGGGGTAATCTTGTTACACTGTTCAAGAAAGTCTCAACAACTAGCCCAATGTAAAGTTTTTTGAGAGTTTTTGACCGCTGTTTTCATCGGTTGTGTTTGCCAGATGATGAAAATGCCAGGATGTTTGCTACTGAGAATACAGTACTAAGAATGGATGAATATCTTTTTTTTCATTAGATGTCAGTGTAACCTTCATGCTGAGAACTGCAATGAATTATCAGGTGGACAGTATTCATGTGATTGCAAACATAACACTATGGGTGTGAATTGTGAATTATGCTTACCACTGTACAACAATCGACCGTGGCAAGCTGGAAGCTATCTTCCTTATCCTAGTGGTACGGCTAACGAGTGCCAGCGTGAGTATAACAAACTTTATTTTCTAACTTGTAACTCAGTAAATTGTAAATCTGATTTTGATATTATGGAATTTTAATATTAACTGATATCACTTGTTATTTGATCTGGTGGATGTAAGTGTCATCGTCTTTTTTATCACATGACCAACTCAAAAGTGTTGGAAATTTAAAAGAAAATAGTACTTTCATGGAACTGAACGCATGAACAATGTGGTAATTTATGCTAATAAAGCATAATGTATGCACATCAGTTGACGCACATTTGCTGTTCGTTATCAATAATTCAGCAAAAATATTACCCTTCTATCAATATCAGTCAATATTATTACGAGTTTGGATCATTGCACCATTGAATAAATGTAGGTATCCAGTCTGAATTTCTTGTATTAAGACAATAAAAATAGTAAAATTTTTTTGTTTTGGCTTACTGTTCAAACATACAGAAAATTATGACATTGATCATGGATACTGAAACTGTTACCATATCAGTGATATTTTATACTAAACGTCACAACTATGAATTATATGTACCAGTCGTGTTACAAAGTATGGTATGCCCATATTTAGCAAACTTTTGTCAACTTCAGGCACCATCCACAAAATAGCTCTATTTATAGTCTGCTCTGTTCCCACATGAAATGTTGTGAAAATTTCAAATTTTTTGATTAAAAACAGTTACATTTTGTCTGTTTGGTCCAAAATAAAGATTGAATTCAGTGAAGAAGATTACGATTTACCCAAAATTAAGCGGGAAGACAAAATTTGGCACCAAATGATTAATGCAAATGTCTGTGAAATATTTCTTGTAGTTTGTGATTGCAATGAACATGCAGCTAACTGTTCATATGATGAAACTGTTGGTAAGGGTGTGTGTGAAGGTTGCGAAGACAACACAGCAGGATTGTTTTGCGAAATCTGTGTCGCAGGTTATTATCGAAACCAGTCTGAGCCTGTGAACAGTCCTGACGTCTGTATAGGTAAGGATATTTGAGGCTTGATATTTTATTTATTTATTTTTTTTATCAACTGCTGACGTCTCAGTAATTATTGTGTGTAATATTAAAGGGATCTTCATTGTGGTCAAAGTAGTTATACTCGTAAAATCTTTGAATCAGTCAAGGCCATGGCTGAAATTTATCTACTTATATTATCATGTTCATTCTGCATATGATTGAAATTGGCCCCTTTAATTCTTGAGCTGTCAGACTCAGAGAAAGATTTTTGTGGTGCAACCGATGGAAGCCAGGGAAGAGCATTGGTTTGTGTTAACGGGGTCAGATGAGATGAGGTGAGGATCAAATGTGGTTGGGTGCGGTCAGTATGGTTATTGTAGTGTTGCATAATGTTCATTTGTGTTCTCCTGCATCCAAGCTTTCAGAATATATATAATTTGTCTTAGCACAATTTATTGAGTAACTGACAGTGGGGACCTTGATCAATTATTTGTTTTTTATTAAAGAAATTTACCATTTTGTTACTTTTAATTGAATTTAAAATGTGTGAAATGTATACAAATTTAGATACTTTCAAGTAATGGTTTTCATCAGCTGTGTTACATTCTAATTTATTTGATTAATTACAATGCCTTTTGTTTTCTATTTAGTTAGTTTCATTTATCTGTTTTTGTTTTTACTCATATATAATCATCCATGCAATATGTTGCCCTGGCAACCATTTCCAGCCTGTCTAAAGGTTGATAGACTACATGTATTACATGAATAATAAAGTTATTATTATCGCAAATGTGTGTCAAGAATTCTGTACACTATGACCTTCAAATAATGCTGGTGGAAATGTCACATCTTTTAACATAAAAAATTGTAAATCATTATATTTTTCACAATGATTTTTTTAGGGTGTTTGTGAGAAAATAATTTTATGAAAGTCGTTTGTTACAAAATGTCACAACTTTATGCAACATTAATGGTCGATGTATACATGTATGCAAATTATTGTGTTTCATAATTAATGATTGTTCATTTTTGAATATCCCATGATTTGTTTTTTAAAATGATAGAATGGTATTGTCAATTTTCCATTGGCTCTGTATGGGGATAAGAAGTGTTATTGTTGTACATGCTCTCTCTGTGTCACAAAATTTAAATAAAGTCAAGAATATCCACATTAACAGATGACAGTTCAAAAACCCCATTATTGTGATTGGTCCATCCCTAATCATCTTGTTTCTTTGTACTACCCCATCACAGGATGTGACTGTGAACCGCTTGGAACTCTTCCTACGTCTGAAAATGTTACGGAATGCTCGCAGTATGAAAATGATGTCACCGGGCAGCCAGTCGGTCAGTGTTCATGCATCGACTTTGTTACTGGGAGACGATGTGATGAATGCATTGATGAGTATTACGGTCTGAAGCAAGTGGAAAGTGCGGGACTCTGCAAAGGTAGGAAAACTTCCGTGAATCATATTAATTTAGACATCATGCATACTGGTAATTATAGCATATGGCACAGAAGTCATTGATGATGGGTGGGGTTGGGGTGGGATGCATTTGTGTAGTTTTGAAAGTACAAATATGTACTGGGTTGTTCGATTTCCTTTTCTTTTCTTTTTTTTTCGGTAGTAGATGTTAGACGTGTACTTCTAGTGTTAAGACTGACACCACAGTACCTGTCAGTCACTCCTGTCATTACTGTTAATGTTGAACAATACATTTTCATAAAAATCTTTAGAATTTTTTTTATATTTTGTAAATAGTTTGCTTAGTGCTATACAAGATCATTTGTGAACAAAAATTTAGACATACGATTTGTGAGTGAAAAAATAAATCATAATCCTGAATAGGTCCCATTAAATTTTTTTTATAAAACCTGAGATAATAAAACAATGTAGGTGTCAAGATCTATAGTTTTGAAAAATAAAAAAAGGATGAAGAATTTTTTGAGACTTTTTAAAACCCAGATTTTTTAAATAATTTATATGATTTTGTCAACCTATGTCACCAGCTTGCAATTTGAGATATGGCATAATATCTCTGCCTACAGTAAGAGCATCTTAATACTGACAAAATGGCCACTATCCACTAAAATACAACCATTATTTTTTTTGAAAATTAGTCTGGTGACCCCCAACTAAGTCAATATCCTTATATTTCCTGGAAGTAAAATTTATTGCAAAATGAATAAATTGTGGGTTGATTCATTTATGAGTGGGCTTCCACTTTAAAATTAAAGGGTAGTGGTCGTCGCGCTGCGCATGTGCGACATTTGTGTTGTTAAACATTGATTTTTCCACAATCCAATGCACTCTTCAAATGGAAATCACAGGTATGAGGTTTGACCTGGGCGTGACTTTCAATAATTACCGCCGATGACTCATTTGATACTTTCCAATCACCTAAAAAAATATCGAATTAAAGTTTGGTAATGTCTCAGTTTGTGCTCGTTGATCTGCGCAAACAGTCAAAGACGTCATCTTTGTTTATATGAGACCAATATATCTTGCACATGCGTGGCGCAAGGACTACAGCCCCATTAAGTTGTTTCATCCTCTACTAGTACATGGGTGTTATAACCTGTGCGTTCACTTCAAACTCATCTACGCTTGTGGTACTGTATTTATCAGTCTATTGCATAAAATTAATGCTTGCTTTATTTTCTCTTAACAGAATGTGGATGTAAGATTCTTGGCACGGTGAACGCCAGTAATGTGTGCGAGAAAACCGAGGGACAGTGTCCGTGTAAACCAAACACTTTTGAAAGAGACTGTAGTAGGTGTAAGGATGGTTTCTATGCGTTTCCTAGTAGTACTGAAATGGTAAGGATAATTTATGCAAATTTAGTTTAAAATTCCTTCAAATACTAGGTTACGGTAGAAATGGGAAATTTCTAGGACAATTCACCTTGTTACATGTATTATTAAGTTAGTGAGGACATTGTGAATTGAGTAGCTAATGTATGTGTAGGGGAGGGGTCCATAAATTAGGGAGGAGGTGTCTAACCAATCTTGAGTGAAATTGTTATTGACTATACCATATTTGCTCTATCTGATGTGTCTCTTTAAAAAAGTATTTAACCAGAAATAGCGTTTATTTAGCATTGAAATATCACTATTGTTTTACTACAGAGTATACATTATAAGCAGACAGATTTTTAAATTCCATGACCAAATATTCATAGAATATGGTACCACCCTTTCCCAGACTCAACATACACTTTAATACCTGGAAAATAAATCATAGGTGTGTGCTCACCACTGCTCCTTTCCAGACAGCAAAAAAACAATTTAATAAAATAGTATGCCCCTTCTTGGACATGGGTGATGAATAACATGAGTGATTTTTGAATTAGCAAATTTAATGAGCTTTATAATTTCAGTAATGAATGTTGAAATGGTAGACTTCTCTCCAGACAAATTTCACCACGCTCTTTGGCTCAAAAAATTGATCCCTTATGACGACACATACCTCCATGTATACTTTACTCAATGGAAGTACATGTATATACCCCAACCCTGGCCTAGATCATACTGATGGAATGTATCGCTTACTTTAATCATACCTTTTGTTTTCTATTTTACAGGACTGTCTCGCGTGTCGTTGTGATTATGGTGGTTCTTATACACAAATCTGTAACATTGTATCTGGTCTGTGTGATTGTCGGCCAAATTTGATTGGACAGCGATGTAATATGGTTGACAGTGGATACTTTTACAATTACCTAGATGCTAACAGGTAGAGTATATGAAAGAAAAACAAAAATAGAAATCATATCTATTAAATATTGAACTCAACGTCCAATGTAATTACATGTACTCGCATAAATGCTCTTAACATTTCTCAGATTAGAGTGACAAATTTGTACACAACTGAAATTCATGTTTAAAAATCATCAGACCATGTGCTACTGTTCGTATGGTATTGTACGTGTAGTATGCTACTTTTGGTATGTTATTTTATTCGGGGTCCTGGATCTACTGCCGTGAGTTCTGCCTTAAGGTTTCTGCTTTCCGGGCCTGTATGTGGCGGTCTATTATCAAATATCTGACATTCCATAACACTGCGCGATCGACTGCAAAAAGCCTTTAAGTTAGCACTTCAATCCTACTGGGATCTAGAAACGGTCGGATTATATGATGTGATAAACCAGCCCACGATGAAGCTTATCGCAAACGAACATCATACGAGACCAAAAACTGTATAAAGATGTATAAAGATGTTCAGAAATTCGATTTCTATGAAAAATAAATCACATTTTTTGAATGAGGGATTCACTCAAGGTAACTTAAAATAAAATCTCTTGCTTTCAGTGTAATTGCGTAATGTTCAGGAATTTCAAAGTCAATAATTCATTGAGTTGAAGTTCTGTATTTCTGACAGGTTATAAGTCTGAAATTCATAACCGATTTGATGTCATTTTGTGAGGTTTGAATCAAACAATTCAGACTGTCGACTGTATATAAAAATCATTTACTTTGTTACATTGTTAATAGGTGATTTTCTGTTCACTGCGAGATCTCATTTACGTGAAAGTCATGGACCTAACGTCTGCCAATCGAATCATTTGATTTTGACTTTGGGAGGGGAATATTGCATTGAGATAATCTTGCTCCATCAATTTTGACCATCAATTGTTATAGCACAATATCAAGTGTGCAAGTACTATCATCTTTGTAGAATTCCACGCAAAGTTTTGACGTCACTAAAATGCTTTTTCTTTTGTTGGTCCTGTTTATACATTTGAGTTCACACATAATGCTGGGTCACTTATTGAACGGGAAAATGGTCTATTGAGAATTTAAAATGATTTGATTAATATATTTCACATGATGCTATGTGTGAAATGGTAAAAACATTTTGAAAGTTGCATATGATCGCATTCAGGATACTGAGAATAATTTGTAAACATGTGCAACAAGCTTGTACAAATCCTTATGAATAATTACCGCTAATTTTTTGTTCTTTTTCTTTTTTAGTTATGATTCTTGGGATGCTGTTTCTGCCTGTTCAAGAGAATCTGATTTACCCATTGACTACACCGGAGTGGGTTATCTTGTCTGTCAAGATAACACAAATGTGTTATTTCAGAACGTGAAGGCATTTTCTGTCATGTCTGATATACAGTGAGAATTGATTCTGTTCTTTGCTATAGATTGTTTGAGTGTGTGTACTCATGTGTGTTTGTATAGAAGTAGAAGTGGAGCCATTGGTCAGGATACACCAACAAAGTGCAACCTTTTGTACAAGTGGAGCCTCACACATGGGGACTCGCAATGTTTCATAATTTTATATTAATATTTAATCCAATTCAAGTGAAGTTTGCAAAGCTCAGGTTTAGTCAAGGTGGAAGGTATGGTTCAATTTATATTAATATTAATATAATTGTACCATACATGTACCTTCCCTCGCTACTAAACCTAAGCTGCACAAACATTTCTACGTTCAGTCACGGGATATTCAACTTTTATTTAATTAAACTCCAATTAAAACACAACCCTATATAAGAAATCGTTTTAATCAAGTTCATATCGCAACTATATTAAAAGTTAATCCAATGTGTGGCGTTACAACTACGGTAAGACCTGTATGTGTGCGTTTGTGTTGTGACAGTCGTAGTAGTGACAAGGGTGATGGTAAGAACAATGGACATTGTTGTCAGCTGTGGCATCAGTTATATCGCAGGGTTTGTCAAATTTTCTGATCATCAGCATTGAACTTACAATGTACATAAGGCAATTCATTGTAATACTTGTCAGTCAATCAACATGTTTTATTAATTTATTTTTGATCTATGAGTTTCCAACTGTGGTGCAACTTTTGCTGGATTACACTTTGTCTGGTATGGGATGCGAAAAATGTTCTCATTTTAACATGTGATTTTAACATGTGATTTTTGACAACGCATGTGAAATACATTTTTGTTAACATGAAATTCAAACACATGCTGTTTGACAACTACCATCCTTTAATTAATTTGGTTTTAAACATTATTTTTAATTCCTGGTACAGTTGTGTCCAACATTCAAACAAAACTGTATCAATCTCTGCCTACAAGGCTGTTGATAAATAAAATCTCTGACAACCCTAGCAACCATAGACAACTGCACACAAAACATTTTAGTTGAGGCACAATATGGTTGGTATAATAGAATACTGATCCTGATTTTTTTGGCAACCATGACAACATCCCAGGCAACCATGACAACACCCCTGGCAACCATGACCACACCCCTGGCAACCATGACCACACCCATGGCAACCATGACAACACCCCTGGCAACTAGTCTAAAAACATGTATTTGTTTAAGTGCATGACAAATTAAAGGTCATCAATCATGTATTTGTGGGTGTGTCCCTAGCAACTACAGATATACCCATAGCAACAGTACACATGGGAGTTTAAAAGTATGAGAACTGCTGACTACAGAGGGGGACAGCTTTTTAGTGAAACAATATTGTAGGAAAAAATGAAGAAATAGCTTCTCGTAACCATTTCTGAAATAGTTTTTGTATATGTATTATGTAACTAAGAAACTAACAAATTTTGTAATCTGTGTTAATTCTTGTTTAATAGAAAATATCTTCCAGTTATACGATACTCATACAATTCCTCTGACAACTGGTACTCTGCAAGTTTGTCGCTCTCTGCAACTGGTGACTCGGCCAATCAAGACTTATTACATGAGTTAGCTGGTGACGTTGACCCGGATACTTCATCTGGCAATACCACTGATGCACCAACAACTGCCGATATCACATGTTCAGTACAAGCTGGGATTATTATGAGTATTGCAGTTGTGTTTACACCTGGCCAAGATATTTCGTGGCAACCTGTTAATGTTGAAGACGACCTCTTAGATGTGGATCGCAGATGTAACTATGAATTGAATCTCCAACTAATGAGTTCTGGAGATGGTGCTGATAACATTCAAATAGATAGTCTAGTTTTGATGCCAGTTTTGACGGATTTTCAAGTTTACAAATATGGGGGTATGTATTTGATCTCGTGATTTGATCA